CCATGTGGACAGAATCCTCTGCTGGTTGCAATACACACATAGCTTGTCATCCACATATGCTGGGGAGATCAGTGGCTCAATGTTCAGGAGCAGGAACTTTCATTGATTTTTGTATTTCTCAGCCAAGGATAACTGAAGCCAATTGTGCATTTTTATTGCACTTTACATCAAAATGTCTCAAAGTGCTTCAGAGATAATCATGAACAAATGTAGTGACTGCTTTTCAAGTAATTTGCATTAGCAAGATGCCACAAACCACTATGTGAAGCATGAACAATTTCATCTAAAGGATTGTTGGAACAGGAGAAACTCCTGGTTTTGCACCTGAAAGACAGCACCTCAAATGATGCAAAACACTCCTGAACTGGAGTGAGTGTTGGCCGGACTTTTGAGCTCAGGGTCACAATCGGCTAACGCAGAGGCAAGTTACCAACTGAGCCAAGCAGGGTATGTTATGAACCACTCACTGAGCTTGGGAATCTGGTGTTGCAGCTGAAAGATGGCACACTACGTTAACAAGTTAAAACCAGAGGAAACTCTGGGCAAGTGATTACCCACAATGACTTTTTTTCAAAAAAAGACCACTAAATTAAATTGGCTATAATTTTGAACACAGCAGGATTCATTTTGTCCTTGCAATTCCCCACCCCCTCACTTTCACGGCATGCAGGGACTCATTATTTACTTGAGTGACTATTCTTCGTGTAGGAGTCAAAGTATGAGAACATTACAAAATTTGATCCTTTCATTTTTTTTAAAAAAATTAAAGGAGCCTTTGGAATGTTTAGCTGATTTAATGCTTCCCTGAAAATTCAAAATAGAAAGTTACCAAACACATTTCAAATGCGTCAATCCCACAATGCCTGTACTAATGTTAGGAATAGTGATAGTTTAAAATAATACCAATCTCAAGCCCTATACTCAGTTACTTCCAAGAGGTGAATTCAGAACAAACTAATGCTGATTGGTTATTTTTGTATTAAAGCAATTTTTTAAAAATTGTAAGCTAAGAAATTCCTGACTGCCACAACCAGGCTCCGTGACCCTATCACCCCCATCCTTGCACGACTCCACTGGCTTCCAATCACACTAAAAATACAATTCAAGATCCCGGTCCTCACCTTCAAAGCCCTCCATGGCCTTGCTACCCCTACCTCTGGAACCATCTAACCCCCTACCAACCTGCCCGCTCCTTCCGCTCAGCGGGCTCCAGCCTGCTTCATATCCCCCGCCTTGCCCGCAACTCTGCCCCAACCTTCTGGAACTCCATCCCACAGCCCCTACGCCTCACCCCGTCTCTTACCTCCTTCAAGATCCACCTCAAGACCCTCCTCTTCGATCATGCCTTTAGTCACCCTCCTTCCCCCTGCCCTCCACCCTCCCTGATCCTGACCCCAAGCTCAGGTCTGAAACACTGATTGTCCAGCACCTTGGGACGTCCTCCCAACGTGAGAAGTGCTATTCAAATGTAATTTTGTTGTTTTTAAGTGTTGTAGTCAATCACAATCCCTTCTATAACATTAAACATTGCTATTCGCATTATCCTCAACTCCCACCTCCCAAGTTAGTGGGAATACTTCAGTGAGTGGTTAGTTGTGCAATATTTACCCTCAGCAAGACCAAATTACAGCAGTTACTGTTGAAATTGGGCTCAAAGTGGCTTTACCACAGGGAGTGATGTCACATCAGTTCCAATGCACAACAGACAGGTTGTAGCACAGAACCAACAAGGGATTTCTTAGGTCCAATCCATCTCATACAATGACAACATCAATATTAATTGGGCTCAGCATCCCTGGGAAAATCAGGAAAAAGTAGATTCTGGTTCACCTCCCAACTATCCAGTAAGCACTGCTGGAAAGTGAAATACAGTATGAATACAATCCACTGCTGGTTGCAACACACAGCCTGACAATTACTGCACTCACAAAATCACAAGGTATTTAACACCACCACCCCAAGGACAAAGAAAAAATGCTCAACCCCAATACTCCTTGCTCCCCAGTGCAAACCGCTCAGTATTTTGCTTGGAACAGATCCATTTTATTTGCTAGTGCTACACTGCTAGGACACCAGTGGTGACATTTTGAATTTTGCACCACAGCAGCCATTTTGTAAATACAAATACATTCCATAACTATTTTGTAAATCAGAAGTCACATTGAAAAGGTAGGTTCATTCAATGGCTTGGATTTTCAGCAAGGAATACCATTTTATGGCAGAGAACTTGGCCACAAAAAGATATGGGGAAGAAGGAGAAACAAAAAGGAGGTAAAGGCCTTTTAAGCATCAACAAGCTGGTTATCCTATTGAATTATAATACATCAACTTTTGGGATAGAGAAAAGATCTCTTTTTTGTGCCTGTTTTAGAATTCCTTAGAATATCTGTGGAGTCCTGTAGCTCAGGGGTTAGAGCACTCGCCTATCAAGCGAGAGACCTGGATTTGATTCCCGGTAGGGCAAAACCTTGGACAAGTTTCCTTACTCCACATGCCTAATGATAATCCCTCAAGAAGAAAAAATAAAAGTGGTCACTTCAATCTAAGACTGTTTGTGGGACACTGCTGTGCGCAATTGACTGCTGCGTTTCACCCACAAATATACAGTCAATTCACTTTACAGTATATTCTGTGAAGCGCTTTGAGAAGTCTAGAAGGTGTGAAGAGCGCAATATCAAATGCAAGGATTATTATTATTACTACAAGGCTGCAAATGGGAAAAGCTCATGAAAACTAGTGCTGAAATCAGAATTGGCATACTCAAGCAATGGCAAAGATTTAGAAAAATGCTTAGCTTAAAAGTTTACGTGAATTCCCACAAGTGCATACGAGTTCTGATGAAAGTCATAAACCCAAAATGTTAACTCATTTTCCTCGCTCCATAGATGCTGCCTAACCTGCTGTGCGCTCCCAGCGACTTCTGATTTTATTTCAGATTTCTAGTATCTGAGGTATTTTGCCTTTTGTTTTTATATACTTGTAAGGTTTAATTCATCTAGATGCATTAATTTACAAGGTGTTAAGATTATTTATTCTGCTTAGCACCCTTAAATGTTGAGTTAAACTGCTACTTCCTTCAGCAGACCACCAATTGAGGTATGCAATCACAGGACACTAACGTTTCTATGACATCATTGAATAATAGAAGGGAGTTTCTCCTAGTGAACAATATTTCAGATATACTGTCACTAACTTCATGGCTGTTTGTGGGAACTTGCTTTGCATAACCTGGCTGCTGCTTTTGCCAACCAATACAGTCACTACACTTAATTACCTGTGAAGCTCGACATCCAAGGCGTTGATGTTCTAGGAACCTTGCCAAAATGCAAGGATTAAGGATAGTTCCTGAAACAATTTAAATGGTTTAATATTTCAAATTTTTATTCTTCCATAGGCAAGGATCAGTCTCCAAAGTGGCAAGTTTTTGTACAAAAGTATTCCATGCTAGCTTATGAGTGTACAATATGAACAAAGTTATCAACTTCTACCCGTATACAATTTTGAAAAATAAAACCCAGGCCCTCCATTGTATTGGTTGAGAATAAAACACTGAATGCCATAATTGATTTTTTTTTTGCACAGGGACTTGAAAGCACAACATAGGGTGGCCATCTCAAATCTGGAAAAAGGTTCACATTATGTTCCCATTTTACAACTGTTCTCAGCTCACAAAACGCAGCTGTCTGTACAAGCCCAAGGCATTCATTCAGCACACACTGCAGGTGGGTTGGAGACGATACATTCGGAGTCGAATAAAGCAAAATAAATTCTCAAGAGGCTGTACTGTGCCACCCCATCTGCATTCATCATTCAACAGTCCAAGTTTTGAAGACCACATTCTACACCTCCTTGGAGAATAGACAACTGGTTCCTAATGATCAGTCATACACAAGGGTAAAAATACAACCTCGGACATATTACATTTGTAGAACTTATCTAGTTATCCTGTGAAAATACTACAAACAGCCCAGAAGAAACGACTAAAACTGAAGCAATTTCTCTCGAAATTCATGAAAACGGTCTCCCAAAAATCACACAATCTTAAACGAAGTAAGTTAGTGAAGTGGGAAGATTGATCCATTCAAAAAAAAACCTGCACAAACCACCTCAAATCAGGGCGACCCAGTGATGAAAACTAAAGGCACTCTGATTCAATGTGGCAAGTCTGGAAGGGCTCAATTCTCTTCTATTCTTCCCCCCCCCATACCCCCAAAAAACAAGGGAAGCCTGAAGGGTGGTATAAATTATGATAAATAAGGTCACGGTGCTCACACGCACCACCTAATGCGATGAACTGCGGATCGGAACCGTTATAAAGTATACAAGAAAAATGTAGTGTGACGGTATTGTCCAAAAAAGGAGGGGAAAGAATAAAGGAATAAAGAAAAGAAACCAACTAGTTTCAAAACCGGAAAAAAAACGAACTGTGCTTTCAACTACAAGCTTATTTTGTCGTCGATTTATCTGCATCGGACGAATCACTTTAAAAATCAGATGAATCACGTCTGCCTCACTTTTTTTAAAAAAAATTTCAAATAAACATAATGAGAAAAAATGGGGGGGGGGGGGAATATATCCTGAGAACTACAAACAGAATGACCACGTGATAAAGGTAAGTTTTTCTTCCAAATATTAGTTGCATCTCGAAGTGAATGAGTTGTCGATCCCTTAAACAGCATTGTTTTCCCATTATATATATATATATATATCATATATATTATAACATAATGAGCAACATAGTGAGCAACTTGATTTTTTTTTGCGAGATAAGTGGAAATCCTGAAGCTCAAAAATACTTTGGAAAAAAATAGCCAAAAAGGAGGATGGTGACCGTGAGCCTGATCGTTTTTTTTCTCTTTTAACTTTTCTTTCTTCTCGTCTTTTATCCTGTGAGAGTGCGTGTGTGTGTGTGGGGTGTGTGTGTGTGTGTGTGTGTGGGTGTGGGGTGTGTGTGGGTGTGTGTGGGGTGGTGTGGTGTGTGTGTGTGTGTGTGTGGGGTGTGTGTGTGTGTGTGTGGGTGTGTGTGTGTGTGGGTGGGTGTGTGGGGGGGTTCTCTGGCTCTCCCTTAACTAGTTAATACTTGTCATATTGTCCGGACCGGCTCCCACTGTAGCCGTACCCGCCATACCCCCGGCCTCGGGGTCCACTATAGCTGTCGCTTCTGCCGCCGCCGCTGTAGCTGCTGCTGTACTGACTGGACCCGCCGTAGCCGCTCCGGCCGCTGTAGTAGCCGCCGCCTCCTCCACCTCCGTAGCCGCCGCCTCCTCCTCCACCACCTCCGTAGCCGCCGCCGGGGCGCCGGTAGCCGCCTCTCATGTTACCTCCGCCTCCTCCTCCTCCTCCTCCCCCGGACTTCTTCTCGGCCTGGTCCACGCGGATCTGTCGGCCATCGATGGACTTGCCGTTCATGGCGAGCAGCGCGTCCTTGGCATCGCCGGGATTCTCGAAGGTGATGAAGCCGAAGCCGCGGCTCTGCTGCGTGTCGCGGTCCTTGATGACCCGCACCTCGCTGATCTGCCCGTACTCGGAGAAAACCTCCTCCAGCGACTGCTCGTCCGTGCTGAAGCTCAGACCGCCGACGAAAAGCTTCCCTTCGTCAGACATGTTGTCTCTCCTCTCTCTCTCGGCAGCTGGGCTGTGGCTATTGTTGTCTGGGTCGCGCGATGTGTGTGTGTGTGTGAGAGAGAGAGAGAGAGAGGCAGGAAAAAGAGGCGACCGCGACCCCCTCTCTCGCTGCTCTCCAGCTGCCGTTAGACGCTCAATGGATAGACCAACCACCGCCGGAAAGAGTGCCCGTTATATGCCTGACTCACTGTGCGCTGCTCAAACCCGTCCGGGGAAGACACCCGCAACTTTAGTTCCGTTCTTTGTTCTGTGAAGCGGAAAGTTCCCACCGCGCCATCTCCCCTCCTCCCCCCTCCTCTTCCCCACCCCACGAAATCACAACTGCATTCAAAATGCAATTGAAACAAAAATTCAAACCGCTTCCACCCGAAAAAAAAACCCAGAGAGCAAACTGCTTCGGAGCGAGGGGGGGGGGGGGGGTTGCGTGTTCAAAATGCCGGTGTGTGTGTGTGTGTAAAAAAAACCCTACGCAGGGAGCAACTGCAGATGGTTTCAAAGAAATTCCATATGCATTTTGATTTCTTTTCAATTAATGTTTTTTTCAAAAAAATTCTTTGTGTACTATGTAAAAACCAGCCCCTCCCTCCCACACAGAGTTAGCAGCGGATTGGGATTCAAACCGCTTCAAAGCTATTCTTGTCGTTTTTATTGCAGAATAACGGGAAAAACTGGAGAATTCCTGGGGAATTAAGTCCAAAACACAAGAGGATTTTTTGTACATCGAACCCAGACTGAGAGGAAACTGCACCGATTTTTTTTTTACAAAAAAAGCTTGAATGCAAAACCTAAGATCCTGGGAAATATGTTCAGATTTTGCACATATTAGAAAGAAGGATTTGTATTCCCCACTCAGAGAGCATAAAAACAGCATGAAGTAAAAGAAAAATGAATGCATTTTAATTGTTCTTATTGTATTTAAAATTAAAAACGAAAACACTAGAGATCTAGGTAGCCCCAGATTCTCCTGGGGTTGGGGGGGTTACTTGACTTTGTTCGTTCTTTGGATATTTAAAAAAAACTAGAAGTGTTTTTTTGGTGTTTGCGAATGTCCAAAACGACGACGACAACAACCTGCACTTATATAGCACCCTCCACGCAGGGTACGGTCTCAGAGCGCTTAACAATGGCGGAGCGTGACTCTGAGGAGGGGGGGAGGTGACCGTAAGCACGGTCGAAGAGGAAAGTTTTCAGGTGGGACTTGAAAGAGGGGAGAGAGGGGGCAAGGCGGAGGGATTGAGGGAGAGTGTTCCAGAGTTTTGGGGCGTAGTGGCTAAAAGCACGACCTCCGATCATGGGGCGGAGATTGCAAGGGATGAGCCGGTGCCAGTCAAACAAAGGCGCCGGGTGGTAGATTAGGGAGTGAAGAGGTCGGAGAGATAGGGAGGTGCCAGGGAGTGAATGGATTTGAACACGAGAGTGAGGATCTTGAAGTCAAGGGTTCTTTTAATTAAAAAAAACACAAAAGTGTAGATCGTAAATATCTCTTCTTCGCCTTCCCCTCCCCTTTTGAGGGTAAAAGTCCCGGAAAATATGTTAGAAATTCAGGGCAACAAACGGTAAGATTTGAACACTGCTCTCTTTTTTGTTGCAGCAACCACACTCCATTTGCATTGTTATTGCTCTATTTGCTTTCATTGTGATTTTAAAAATCCCCTAAATGGCAGCCGAGAAGTTTGTGACCGTTGATGGTCCTGGGCACCCGTAAGGTTCCTTTAAAGAAAGAAAAGTATTACTTTTATTAGCAAACTAGGAGATTCAAATTCTTCGTTCATGCAGGATTACAATTCTATTTCCACAAATAATGCCTTTTAAAAAAGTTTTTAAGAATTTAAGAATAATAATTGTTATTATAAAATATACTATATTATATTTAGCTGAAAAGAAAATAAGAGATTTAAACCCAGTTTGATTGATTTCTAGTTGGTACCGTTATAGATAACTCTTTTAACACAACATACTGGAGATTTGTTCAACATTTATTACTGCTACTCAGTGTCTTCATTCATAAAGAATAACAACCCGAGTTAGGTACCCTGAGGGCACCCATTTCCTATGAAACTGTATTGAGGCATGATAAGGATGGGATGACAGAAATGTAGAATCCTTACAGGTAATAGAAAAATAAATGTTTATTCTATGAGCTTCAAAAGTGAGATCATATAAAACTCAGCAGCCTGTATTTTCTCCATCAGACTATACACCCCCATTACCTCCATTTTCACGAGACTCCACTCCCCCACTCCTCCCAGTACCTAGCGGATCATTGTCCTGACTTCTCCTCACTTCACAATCTCTGTTTCTGACCACATCAATTTCCAGTGGCCCTACACTGCTACTCTCCAAACTCTGTTCCACTGAATTCCCCATTCCTTCCATCTCACCCAACAATGCCTCAGATGAAAATTGGTCATTGGCTTCATGTCGGTTTGTGGGACATTGCTGTGCACAAATTGGCTACCTTGTTTGCCTACAAAACACACACAAACTGCAGTAAATCCTGTGAAGAACCTTGATATATCCTCCTGATATTAAAGGCAGCATGTGGAGTTCTGTAGCTCATTGGTTAGAGCACTTGCCTTGCAAGTGAGAGACCTGGGTTTGATTCCTGGCAGGGTGAAACCTTGGGCAAGTTTCCTTACTCTATACGACTAATAATAATCCCTCAAGAAAAAAATACAATAATAAATTACTCAATTCAATCCATGACTGTTTGTGCGACACTGCTATGCACAACTGGCTGGCATATTTCGCCCACAAATATACAGTCAATTCACTTACAGACTATTCTGTGAAGCGCTTTGAGACGACAAGAAGACATAAAAAGCGCTATATCAAATGCAAGGATCATTATTATTGTATTAAAATGTAAGAATAAAATTCTGTGCCCTACTTGCGTGCTTTCTAAACCCTTTTGATAAAACTATCTTTTAGATCATGCCCCACCATCCCTATATTTGTGCTTCTGTAAAGCGCTTCAAGATATTATCCTGCTTGAAAGGTGGTATATAAATGCAAGTAGTTGTTTTTGTTTTATGCAACACATCTCTGGAATTCTCCCAAACTGGAGAATCTGCTCATAAAGAAAAAAAGAAATTCTAAACTGCAGAACTAATTATGTGACAGCTGCCTTACAAATATCTTTATGTTGCAGAATTAATTTGCATTTTAACTCTCTGTAGGATTGTTTATTCATCACTTGTGAAAATCCATGTTATTTCAGCTGTGAGGTAATTATTAATGGTCATTATCATTTAAATGTGCCTTAAATGATACAATATCACTTTTATTTTTAAAAAACTCAATGGAGTGTAATTTGCAGGTCTTTTGTAACAATATTTCATGCACCCCTCTTGCAATCTTCTCCCCGCTTTACCTAAAGGAATGTAATTCCACAGACACCAGCCAGCTTCCAGCACGTCACCAGAGCAGACATTTGAACTTGATATGTGACATGTGTTCCTTGGCACTGAGTATCAGCAGAGTAATTCCTATTGACCTGCAGGCACATTGCTCCAAAGGTAGACCAAAGCAGAGTTCCCATGGGTTTGTGTGACATAATAATCCTTACTTTGGATATAGCACAACAATAACTTGCCTTTATATATCACCCATCAGCGTACCAGAGCACGTTTCACATGAAGAGGATGTCTCAAAGTGCTTCAGAAAACATATAGCAAAGTGTAGTGATTGTGTATGTTGTAGGTGGACAGATACAATAACATATACAATATATGCAAATGAGTCATTTGTGCAACTTTGATTACTCATTAAGGAATTTTATTAAGTATTACTGTAAAATTAGATCCTAATCTATTAGTAATACTCCCTATTTTTTCTTGAGGGTGATTTAATTGTATTTGGTGGCAACACATGGAGAGGGAACTACACATATTAAGGTCACACGGGTATTTGGGAGTTCCTTTGTTCTTTTCACTCCCGATGACGTTCATGTCGCCACCAAGACCTTCATCGACGCATTCGTCACATCCAGGCTCGACTGAACAAACTCCCTGCTTGTCGGCCTCCCCAACTCCTCCCTCCACAGGATATAGATCACCCAGAACTTCTCAGCCCGTATCCTCACCCTCTCACCCCCATCCTTGCCTGGTTCCACTGGCTCCCCAAGACTCACGAGGCTACAGTTCAGGATCCTGCCCCTCACCTCCAAAGCCCTCCACAAGCCTTGCTCCTTCCTACCGCTGACCTCACTCCCCACCGACCTGCCCATTCCCTGCCGCTCAGCGGGGCTCCAGCCTGCTTCACGCCCACGCCTCGCCCGCCCCGCCATCGATGGTCGGCCCTTCAGCAGCTCTGCCCCACCCTCTGGAACGCCATCCCGCACTCGCTTCGCCGCACTCCCTCCCTGGCCTCCTTCGAGACCCTCCTCTGCAACCGCGCCTTTGGCCAAGCTGCTACCACCCCCATCCTAATCCCCAATTGTTCAGCGCCTTGGGACGTCCTCCCGTTGTGAAAGGCGCTTTACAAGTGTAATTTTGTGTTGTATATTGTAGCCCCAAGTCAACCAAATACTAGCCCAAAAGTAGCCCAATATTTGCCAACGTGTGGGTGAGAGAGGACAATTTAGGTCAGTGCTTTTGAAACTGGAAGAAAATATCTGGGGGGGGGGGGGGGGAGGAGGGGGGAATCACGTTTTGCAGATTTAAATTATAAATCAAATACTAGGCGGCCGCTCAACGAAGTTTTTTTTTCACGCGCAGCACAACCGCCCGCGCAACATGGCCACATCGCTCCACTCCACTCCCTCCGGTCCGCGCCACAAAGCAGCGCGTGAGACAGACAGACAGACAGAGAGAGAGAGTGACCGTTGTTCCGTCGCGCGCATTTCCAGAGATCGCGCCGCAAAGTGGCCGTTAGCTGCGCGCGCGCCCGCGCCCGCCCGCCGCGAGGCTTCTAAACGAGGCCGGCGTTTAAATTACCCACCGCCGCTCCCTCCCCCCACACACCACACAACCCCCCCCCCCCACCCCATATACAATACACACACTACACAGCACCCCCTCCTCCACACACCACACACCACCCCCCCCCACCCCATATACAATACACACTACACAACACCCCCCTCCTCCACACACACCACACAACCCCCCTCACCCCATATACAATACACACACTACACAGCACCCCCCTCCACACACCACACAACACCCCCCCCCACCCCATATACAATGCACACTACACAGCACCCCCCCCCCACACCACCCCCCCCCCACCCCATATACAATACACACACGACACAGCACCCCCTCCTCCACACATACACACCACACCCCCCCCCACCCCATATACAATACACACACGACACAGCACCCCCCTCCTCCACACATACACACCACACAACCCCCCCCCACCCCATATACAATACACACACTACACAGCACCCCCCTCCTCCACACATACACAACACACAACCCCCCCCATATACAATACACACCCCACACACACCCCCCCCCCACACATACACACCACACAACCCCCCCCCCACCCCATATACAATACACACACCACACAGCACCCCCCCCACATACACACCACACAACCCCCCCACCCCACACAACCCCCCCCCCCCATATACAATACACACCACACAGCCCCCCTCTCCCCACATATACAATACACACACCACACACACCCCCACATACACCCACCCCCCCCACAACAACAACAACAAGATTCCATTCATAGAGCGCCTTTCACGTCAGGAGGACGTCCCAAGGCCCTGCACAGTTGGGTCATGACCCGAGCAGGGAAATGGTCAGGGTGAGGGGAGGGAAGGGAGGGAGCGAGGAGGGGGGAAATGGTCAGGGTGAGGGGAGGGAAGGGAGGGAGCGAGGAGGAGGAAGAGAGTCGAGAGGGAGCTGAAGGCACGTCAAAGAGAAAGGTTTTGAGACCGGCCTTGAAGGAGGAAAGGGAGGAGGCGGCGAAGGCACTGGGGGATAGAGTTCCAGAGCCTGGGGGCTGAGAGGCTGAAGGCCCGACCACCGATAGTAGGGCGGTTGGGGCGGGGGACGTGGAGCAGACCAGAGCCAGAGGAACGGAGGTACGGGCAGGTAGGTAGGGGGATAGTAGGTTGGAGAGGTAGGAGGAGCAAGGCCGTGAATGGCCTTGTAGGTGAGGATGAGGATCTTGAAATCAATCCTCTGGGGATGGGGAGCCAGTGGAGGCGAGCGAGGGTGGGAGTGATGTGGTCCCGAAGCCTGGTGCGGGACAGTACACGAGCCAGGTTCAGCCCATGCAACCCAAGACCCTCCACCATACAACACCACACAGACCCCCGTTCCCCATTATTAAGAAAGTCACGAACAACGCCACTCATAGCAGCCTTGGATGCTCCCCATATACAATACATACACCATACAGCCCTCCCCATACACACACCACACAATCCTCCCCATATACAATACACACACCACACAATCCTCCCCATATACAATACACACACCACACAGCCCTCCCCATATACACACCACACAATCCTCCCTATACAATACAGACAGCCCCTCCCCATAAACACACCACACAGCAACCCCCATATGTACACACCACACAATCCCTCTCCCTATGCAATACACACATCCCCCCACCCTATATACATACCACACAAATACCTCTCCCCATATACAATACACACACCACAGCCGCCACTCCCCATATACACACCATAACCCCCCTCCCTATATACAATATACACACCACACAGCCCCCACCTCCCCCAACACAAACACACACAGGAGAAATGGGAGCAAAGTTGTAGGGTAGCAGCTGTGGGAGACAGAACTGAAGGAAAGGGGGAAGGAGGATGTGTCCTGGGGAAATTTGATGGTTTTCCTCATAATGAAATCCATAACGTTGCATTTGGAATCAGAGGGGAGAGATGGCAGAGGTGACTTGTGGACAAACGGTTCACAATGATACATGTTCTTTAAATTCACCCATTCTACACACACACCAGTCACCGTTATCATTTGGTGCACAATTACACATCTCCGTCAGATTTAACACTAAGTATTAAATGCAAAGACAACCTCTTCAGATTTCTTACTGGAATCAAGACAAATCTCATCTCACCCACACAAAGATAAAGCAGATCTCTTCATACATAGATGTCGTCAAATGACTGTACGTTTGTGTTTCCTGCAGAACAAAAAAATAATTATCTAACTTAAATGAAATTGAATTGTTAAAGAGTGCAACATTCCTTTCTTTCATCAGGTTCAATTTGTATTGTAGTTATTCTGTTTGTTTGTTCAAACATGTTCAATGCAGCTGATTCATGCATGAAAGATTTATAACCCTTTCCCCCCAACATTTAAGACTCAGGTAGCAGACCAATTCTACATACCGGTCAGATTTGCCACAGGATTAAATCAATCTAATCTTCATGCAGAGAAGGATTTCACCAGGAGGTGGGGGAGGAGGAAAAAGATCTCTTCATATGTAAGTTTGATTGGATAACCACTTGAAGACGAAAAATATAAAGGGGTATGTGGAGGGAGCAGGGAATTCAGATTAGAGCTTCAAAGGAGGAGTTGGCATGGTATAGATTCTACAACCTTCGGTTAACATCCTCAAACGCCCCATTCTCCCCTGCTTGATGATTCTCCCATCATCTCTGCAAAGCGCTTTCTGATGTTATCTGATAAGAAAGATGTTATATAAGTGCAAGTTGTATATAGTTGCAACAAGTCAGCCACAAAAATAGATAAATGGGCTTTTTTCATTTGTTGGCCCATGACAAGGAGCATAAATCCAAGATAGCCACAAGCAGATCTGAAAGATTATTGAAGGAATTTCTTTACCCAGAAACTCATTTCCAGAAGTGTGGTTGAAACTGAAAGCATCAATGCATTTAAGCATACGTAAGGGAGAAAGGAAAAGAGGGGTTTGAAAGGCAGATTAGGATAGGTGGAGGCTTATGTGGAGTATAAACACCAAGATGAACTAGTTGGGATAAATAGCTCAATGCTATATAGACAGCACATTGTAACAAGACTACCCTGTATCAATTTGAGTTTTCTTAATAATCATTTTAGCTTTCCAATCATAAAAGGCTACAATACAAAACTGCAATTGTTCATTTTATCTGGGATTGCTGACCTGTAGATCTATAAGGATTAATTTAATTTAGTCTCCTAGGCTCTTGGAAGTTGGGGGAATGGAAGTATGCTGAAAACTTAGATGCATTGAGGAAAAAACGACTGGAATAATGGACCTGAAATTTTCTAAAATAGTTGAGGGGCATTTCAATGGACTAAGATAGGAAGAATTATGAAGAAGCTGAAATGTCCAAAAATTGTGAAAGGTAAATATTACCATAATTTTGCAACTAATATTTTAGAAGAATTCAAAACAAGGTACTGGAGAGGGTGACATATGAAATGAGAAGGTGCGCAACTGAATACAGGTGGAGCACAAGGTTTAGAATAGATAGAGATTGAACAAGGCATAGCAGGTCCATTTGCCTGTTGCTCAGGTCTATATTAAAGATTTCATGATGCTTTTGGACAAAAGGACTTTGCTCCTGGTGTCCTGGCCAACAGTCATCCAGATGAATTGTTCATTTATGTCATGGCTTTTTGTGGAAACTTGCTAAATGACTGCTGTATTTGACAGCAAAGCACTTTAAGTCTGTAGGATAGGAGCTTTCAATTCTGTATGATAAGAGCTTCAAAAATGCAACTAATTTCTTTGCTGTAATAGAGGATTTATTACGGTCCATTTGTTGCATGTAGCATACAAATGTGGGCATCAGTTTGTCTTATTGGTATCAGTTTGGCTCAGTTGGTCACGCTCTGACTTCTGGATCAGAAAATGGGTCCAGTGTTGGGACTTAAGATCCCAGTGCAGTAGTTCCAGAGGTGCTTCCCCCCACTCCCCATAAAAATACAGTTCCTACATTTCACAGCAATAACCATGAAGTGCTTTGAAAAGGTTTCACATCATATAAAATATATTATTATTTTTGTCATAGAAAATATTTGTACAATTTATTTCCACACTATTAAAACCTGTTTTAATCCAACTCCAACATTGGTACCATAACAACTTCAACACCACAAATTTAAACGTGAAATTTTCCATAATCCTCCCCTTCGCAACCACTAGCCACTTAAACAATTAGTGTGTTTACCATCTAAGAATCTCCATTTCAATAATGATAATAATAATCCTTGCATTTGATGTAGGACTTTATTAAGTTGGTGCGATATTTCAAAGCGCTTCACAGAATATATTGTAAAAGTGAATTGACTGTACATTTTGTGGGTGAAATGCAGCAGTGTCCCACAAACAGTTGTGGATTGAAGTGACCACATTTTTTTTGAAGGGATTATTACCCCTGCAATCCACCAGTTGATTAACAACATGGTTCCTACTTACTGCTGGATAGATAGAGGTGTGTGGAGTAACAAAACTTTCTTAAGATTTCGTCCTGCCCGGGAATTGAACCAGGGTCCACTCACTTGTGAGGCGAGTCCTCGAACCACGTCACAAGACATGGAGTAGCTGAACTTTTACTTTAAGAGGCAGCAGCTGTTTCTCTTTGGCCATTGAATAAACAGACTGTAGTTTTCTACATTATGGAAGTATTTTGACATCTCTGTTGAATTTTCTATCTGGTAACAGAACCCTGTCTGATTTTCCTATGCCTAATCTGCTGAGATTAACTATTTCGGCACAGACCTAATTTAAAATCAACACCTTACAGCAAGGTACAGTACTATCAAATCCACTCAAGGCAACTTTTCTAAAGAGACAGGTCTCCTTAGTAAGGACTTGATTTATGTCCTTTCACCACTTACTTTAAGTGTGCTGGATCATTTACATGATCTGAGGAAATAAGATAGCTGTGATCGTGGTGATCTAACATTCAGCCTTTAAACATACTGGAACTTTGTCAAACAATCCTTACTGGCAGGAAGCGGGACATGGCACATTCAACATGTGTTGACTCAAGTCCAGAGAGCTCCCAACACTTCAGTGTTCATGGAAAGTTCAAATAGAAGCATGTTTCTAGCTAACCTACCCTGGCCAAAAAATGGAGCTACTTGCTCTGATCGCATTCAGTAGGTTATCAGACTACTTGAATACCCTCCTCGCCGATCTCCCCTGTCCGCAAAATCCAATTAATCCAAAACTCCGCTGCCTGCATACTCACCCGCACTAAACTCCGTACCCCCATCACACCAATTCTAGCCAGGCTTCACTGGCTCCCTCCTGGCACCGAACAGATCTATCTCAAGATCCTCTCACTCATCTCCAAATCCCTTCATGCACTGGTACCTCCCTACCTCTCTGACCTGCTTACCCCCCAAACCACTACCTGTTGCCTCTGCTCAACTGGCTCTAGCCTCCCTCTTGTCCCTTGTGCCCTGTTTTAGCCACTATACCCCAAAACTCTGGAACATTTTTCCTCTATCCCTCCCGCCTTGCTCCCTCCTTCCCTATCTTCAGGTCGCGCCTGAAAACCTTTCTCTTTGACCGTGGGTACAGTCACCTCCCCCTCCCCCGGCATTATGCTCCACCACTGCCAAGAGCTCTGGGACGCTTCATAAATGCAAGTTGTTGTTGTTAGGGTTTGGTATTAATTGAAACACGCCATGATTCATGACCACCCAGCCTGGTTCACTGGCAGGACCTGGAGGGGCAAACTGGTCACTGGGGCTACTGATTCTTCTCACTCAACGCCTGTTAATCCTGCAAGCCAAAAGTAGGGTCACCCTAGCTGGACAAGCAGCAGAAAGCTTGCCAGACAATGAATGCGTTCAAGATCAATGTCAAGTTATGCAGTTTTAGCTGATTAAACTCCAGCAGTACACCAATGCACACTGGGATCCCCAAACCTTGGCTTTTACCACTGGAATTAGTAAAGTAGGGTACGTTCCTCCAGGGAGGGAATGAGTATTCTATGGGAATTGCCATGTGTAGGTGGCATGCATTGGTCTGGATACTCTTAAGCATGGTGAAGGGTTTTTGCATGTGTCAGACACTCGTTGACTAATTTTTTTTGCCACAAATACCATTTGAGGCTGTGCCATTAGAATTAATCAAAACAGAACTTGACAAGCATCTGAACTATATTTAAAAAAAAGGGATGTGGAAGAGAGCTCGAAGTGGAATATATAATGTATTAACACTGAAGGATGGTAATACAGTTTGTAGTTTCACACAATGGACCAAATGTCTTTTCTCTGTACTAAAAAATTCTGGTTTTCCCCCTGCTCTCCTATCCAGATAGAACAGTTTACGTTTATATAGTACCTTTCACTTTCGGAGGATATCCTCAAAAGGCTTCTACATTTAAAATCGTCCCTTGCCAATTAGCATAGTCTAAGATAAAAAGTGCAATCTCATTTGTAGCTATTCTCACTTCCCTGCAATATTTATTAATTGAGAACCTGAACTTAAATTTGAGCTCCTGCAAACTTCACCCCCCCCCACTCCCCCGGAAAAAACATCAAATTCACATATTGGAGAGACGAGTGAGGCTGGGATAATTCTCGTTAGAGCACGGAAGGTTGAGGGGAGATTTAATAGAGGTGTTCAAAACTATGTGGAGTTTTGAGAGTAGATAGGGAGAAACTGTTTCCTTTGGTGGATGGATCAGTAACCAAAGGACACAGATTTAAGATAATTAGCAAAAGGACGAGAGGGGAGACAAAGAGACATTTTCCCAGAGAGTTGTTACGGTCTGTAATGCACTGCCTGAAAGGGTGGTGGAAGCAGATTGATAATAGCTTTCAAAAGAGAATTGGATAAGTACTTAAAAAGGAAACATTTGCAGGGCTATGGGATAAGAGTATGGGAGTGGGATTAGTTCGTAGCTCTTTCAAAGACAATCAATTTGCACACAGCAAGGTCCCATAGGCTTGTTGGCCAAGACACTGAAGGAAACAGGAACAGCAACAAATTGCATTTGTATATCACATCGGGAGGACGTCCCAAAGCACTGGACAGGCAGAGTTTTGGACGCGAGCTGGGGTTCGGGATTGGGAAGGGTGAAGGACGGGGGGGAAACAAGATAATCGAAAATCCGGTCGAAAAGGAGGGTCTTGAGATGGGTCTTGAAGGAGGCAAGGGAGGGGCCAAGGCGGAGGCACTACGGGATGGAGTTCCAGAGAGTGGAGGCAGAGTGGCAGACCACCCACCTACTGGTGGGGTGGGCGAGGTGGGGGACATGAAGCAAGCTGGAACCTGCTGAGTGGAGGGAACAGGCAGGATGGTAGAGGGTTAGTAGGTCTCAGGGGTAGGGGTGGAGCAAGACCATGGAGGGCTTTGAAGGTGAGGACCAGGATCTTGAACTGTATCCCTTGTGTGATGGGAAGCCAGTGGAGTCGGTCGAGCCTGATGCAGGAGAGGACATGGGCTGCTGAGTTCTGGATGATCTGGGGAGGCCGACAAGCAAGGAGTTTGCATAGTCTAAGTATGGTGTCAGCCGGGATTTCAGCTGAAGCCTCTAATTGATTTGATCAGAACCTGAGGCTCTGTGCTTCCAATTGAATTAGGCTAACAAATAACACCCAAAATAGACATGAACATATTTTTCTCTATGTCCCCAAAATTGGACCAGCATGTCAACACATTTTCAGACTAATAGTGATCACAATATTGCTCATCACTGGAGAACCCTAAGTTTTAGTTAATCTAAATGCAATACCTTTAGCCATTTTAAATCACTTGATGCATCAATTGAAGTTGCAAATTGAGTTTCCACCTCTATGAATAGAGATTGTGCATTGCAGTTATCCATAATAAGTGATAACATCAACATTTCAAGGCATCACAAAAGGTTAATGTTTTAAAATCAAATGTTTGTTTCAATGACACTACTTGAAAGAGATAAATCATTCACCTAATGCCTGTTTGTGGGACCTTGCTGTGCATACAATGGTTGCCACATTTGCATTACAGGCACAGTATTGACAGAAATGCACTGTGTAGCTTTGAGACTTTTTGAAAGTTACGATTGCAAGGATTATTCAATTGCAACTTTAATGTGCTCACTCCAATGCTGGTTATCATCCTGGTCGACAGAATGGGTTGATGAACCACCATCTCTTTCGCTGCTAAATCAAGCACAAGAGCATCACATTTCCCTTACATCTTATCCATTGGGGCACCACTCACACTCATTCACAAACATCCCTCACATTGGAAAAAGTTAATTTACTAAATGAGGATGTTAAACTCCGCTGTACTCAACTAGCGGCCACATTTCGCCCACAAAATACAGTTAATCCATTTTACAGTATATTCTGTGAAGTGCTTTGAAATAGCTTAAGGTGATAAAGATGCTGTATCAAATGCAAGGATTATTAATAACCTCCATCACACATAACAATGCTTAGCAAAAATCCATTTGGCATATTTTGTATAAGGACTTCCAGCGCCTTCCCAAAGCGTCCCAAGACACTGCACTGTCAAGGATTTGCAACCGTGTTGGGATCAGTCCGGGGGTGAAGGGCACGGAGAGTGAGATTGGGGGGTGACCAAAGGTGCGGTCGAAGAGGAAGGTCTTGAGACAGGCCTTGAAGGAGGCAAGGTAGAAGTAAACGCAGATGGTACTTGAATGCTTCTTGAGCATAGTGGTCCAAGATCCAGTCATGTTCATAAATAGTAACTTCCTGAATAAAACATTTAATTTCTAGTCTCAACTGTATGCAGGTAAAGCAATTTAAATTTTTATAGCACTTTATTTGTCAAAGCTTCTCATTGGGAAGTTCCTTCTGGATTAATGTGAAGAGACTGTTTCAGTAGGCAAAAATATGTATAATTTTCAATTCTAAGGCTGTAAACTCAAGAAACGATAGCAAAGCTACAATTTATAACTGGAATCCAAATTCAGAGATGGGACTGCAGCTTTGTAACTTTTTATTAATGACGTGATAAGGCCTTATATCAACAGCAAATTACATTTGTATATGTACATGTCGAGATTACATGTCGAGAGGATGTCCCAACGGGCTGGACAGTCAGGAATTTGGACCTGAGCAGGGGGTTGGGGTCAGGAGGGATGGGGGGTAGAGGTAATAATAATAATCCTTGCATTTGACATAGCGCCTTATCACGTCGTCGTGACGTCTCAAAGCACTTCACACAATATACTGTGAAGTGAATTGACAGTATATTTTGTGGGTGAAATGCGGCAGCCAATTGCACACAGCAATGTCCCAAAAACAGTCGTGGGTAAAAAGGTATGAGGGTGACCGAAGGCAAGGTTGAAGAAGAGGATCTTGAGACATGCCTTGAAGGAGGCGAGAGAGCAGGGAGAAGGGATTGTGGGATGGAGTGTGGGGGCAGAGGCTGAAGACCCAACCGCCAATGATGGTTCAAGGCGAGTGGGGGACATGGAGCAGGCCAGAGCCTGCTGAGCAGAGGGAGCAGACAAGTCGATATGATATTAGCAGGTCACAGAGACAAGAAGGAACAGGGCCATGGAGGACATTGAAGATGAGGCTTTCGAACTCTATCCTCAAATGCAAGGATCATTCTTAAAAAATGGTCAATTGTGACCACCACTGAGTTATTAACATGGGATGGACAAGCAGAAACAGAGCAACACAGAATGATAATGCAGGAAATTTAATTGAATATTGGAATAAAAATAAGATTATTCCACCCTTCCTGGAGTACTTCCATAAAAGCAATGATTTCTCCTCCCACTCTGTTTCCAGGCAGTGGAAATAATATGTGTGGAACAATGGCTGAGTAAGCACCACACCAGAAGGCAACCAGTGCAGTGAACATAACTTAATGTAAGGCATTAAATGAGGAAAGCAGAAATGGCATTAGAAAGTAGCTGAATTACTTATTCCACATCACTTCTTATTGCTTCGTGTTGTTTGCGTTACAAACACATAGGTTCATAGGTAATCTGCCACCGACCACCTGTTTTAAGTGTAGAACAGGTCTGAACGAGAAAGCGCCTGTTCCAGGGGGAGGGGGGCACAAAGGGACAAGAGTGACGACCATTTCTCCTCCCCCCTCCAAGCACAAAGAGGAGATATACAGCCCCCCCCAAAAAAAATGGTTTCAATTAGCTGTAGAAAGAGGTATTTTTTTTTAGTGGTACTTTGCATCTGAAGTAAGACCCTGGCAAATACTTCCAGCATTTGCAACATTGTTTTGTTTTGCTCGTTTTTTTTCAAAAAACCCATTGAGCTGCATCTCAATTAAAATCAAATTTGAAGGTAAGATTAAAGTTATGTCAAATTTGGCGATAAGATACAGATCAGGAAAATAGGGGTGTGAAAATACACAAGAGGAACTTTTATTAATAAGTTTATGATTGACTCCAAACTTGCATTTGACTTTGGAACAAAGGGCTCAAATCTTGATCATCTGCCAACTCCTGTATGCACGCGGTGCATGGCCTCCAGTAAAATACTTTAATCTACTATATTTTAGAATTTGTACCTAAAATTAACAGATCAGTCTAGTATTCACCCATTTATAACTGACCAGAACAGAGGCCAAATTAACCTTACAAACTACTGGGGCAGTTCAGATTTCTATCAAGCGCTGGAAGGTGGGGGTGGGGGTGGGGTAGAGAGAGAGGAAAGTCCTACAATAGATGCAAGTAGATTTGTTTCAAAGCTAAATGTTGCTACACGAGTAAAATAGGTGCAATTATCTTAATAGTGTAAGCCGATTTTCAAAAACACTTTTAAGCCTTTAGGTAAGAAAAAAAATCCCAAGTTTATATACAGTAATTAAGAGTGGAGTTTTCCCCGCCCCCAAGTCATTCATAACTTCAGATTGTTATCCCGCCCTCAAGTCATTCATAACTTCAGATTGTTACCATCTGTTTGATTTAGATTAAAAAACCATCCATTTTGATGCATCTTTTCAGCAAGCAAAACAAACAACCATCATGTGTTTTGAAAATAAATTAAACCGCTTTGGGAGTTAATATCCCCAAACCTTCTAGTTTGGGATTAAAATCTCCCAAGCTACAAGTCGTAAATTCTTACAACAAATTACAACAAATATTAAGACTTTACCTTCATCTTCACTGCTTCGGTGTGCGTTGAGCTTGAGTTTCAAGTCCTTGTGCACAGTATTTAAAGACATGGTTTCATCCATTAACGAGTGCAGGGAAGCAAATAAATCATTGTAGTTAGCTTGGTGTATAGAGGAAAGTCGTCTGGGTTTGGTTTCCTCGAGCTATTTGAACAATATAACAAAGACGCATCACGAGAGATCCTGAAGCTGCATTTTTATTCAGATATCTATTTAAAAAAAATTCAATTCGGCAAGGTTTAAGTCTCCGAAGTAGCAAGTTTGTGTCCAAAGAACACTGCCAGCGATGAAAATACAATATCAAATGACTATCGACTTTAAAACCAGTAAACAGTTTTCAAAATGTTTTTTTAAATCATGATCCATTTGATTTCAAAAGGTCTCAGAACAGGCTACATGAAAATGTTGGCTTGTTGAGGTTTCCATTTTACTTTCCAGTGATGAGTAATACTCAACAACAAACAACTTGCATTCATAGAGTGCCCTTCACGTGGGGTAGCGTCGCGGAACGCTTAACAGTGGCGGAGCTTGAAGCTGAGCCAGGGAGAGGGGGGAAGTGACCATAGGCTCAGTCCAAGAGGAATGTCTCTACGTCTGATCTGAAAACAGGCAAGGAGGCTGCAAGACGGAGGGATTGAGTCAGTTCCATAGTTTCAGGGCGTAGTGGCTGAAAATACGGCTGCTGATGGTGGAGCGGAGGGGACGAGGGACGTGCAGGAGGCCGGAGCCAGCTGAGCGAAGAGGAGTGGGGTGTGAGCAAGTCAGAGAGACGGGGGGAATGCCTGGGCATGAAGTGATTTATTTGTATGCGAGTGTGAGGATCTTGAAATCGATCTGGTCTGCAAGTACAGTACTGGGGTGATGGGGAAACGGAGTTTATGAACTCTATTGTAAAGAACTCAGACAAATAGTTGAAACATTCTTTCATGACTTTAAAAAAACGTTATCACAAATGGCAGTTTCTTTTGAAAGCAAAGAACGTGCAAAGTTCAACTTCATTATTCCAGGTGAGGAAACCATTGCATTCAAATCACAGCAGTAAATGGAGTTTAAAAAAAAGTTCCCAAAGGACATTTCAATAGAATCTCATTTAATTCAAACAAGAATTGTAACCAGTAAACTGAGTCGATGAAAAGGGAAATCTGAAACCATCTACATTTTTGTTGGATACATCAAGTAGTAATTTATAGTATTATTGTGGGCCTTTTGGGGCCCTCGAATGGACAATAGGCTTTACTCCCTGCGCCGCGTGGAAATGTGAGAAAAACTCACCAGAAAGCAAACTACAGTATATTGTACAAATTCCAATAAGAGTGGAGCGCACACACTTTAGAGACTCGGTGTGCGATGTTTTTTTTTAAAAAACTGCCACTTTTTCGCAATTTCAAATATTCAAGAGAGAAATTATATGTGTGTTTTTTTTAAAAAAAGGTATGAAAATACAGCATTTCGGGGTTTTTTTTTAAAAAAAAAGCAAAGCCCGATTTTTCTTTTTACTTACGAAGAACTGATAACAGATTAGTCACCGTGACTTTTAGTGAAACTGTTTTGATAGTTTTTTTTTGGAAAAAAAAACACACAAAAGGCAACACATCAAAATTCTTCAGAGAGATAACGGAGCTTCCTGGTTCCAAAAGCCTTCACACAAGGAGTTTGGAGGGAGGGAGGGAGGGAGGCAAAGGAGTCTGATCCCGAGCCCAGCAGACGGTCTATTGAGAGGGGAGAGTTGGCTGTTCAATCATAGTTAGATCTGCTGTAGCCGCTGTATCCCTGCTTCTTGTAGCCGCCGCTGCCACCACCACCACCACCTCCGTAGTAGCCGCCACCACCACCACCGCCGCCGCTGCTGCTCCTGTTGTACGAATCATCTCGGTACGAACCGCTCCTGCCGCCTCGAGAGTAGCCACTCCGGGGTTGTCCGCCACCGTAGCCACTGCTGGGCGCGTAGCCGCCCGACGAATAGCCGCCGCCGCCGCCTCCTCGATTCGAGTAGCCGCCACTAGACGAGTAACCACCGCCTCCGCCGGTCTTCTTCTCAGCGTGACCCACGCGGATCTGCCGGCCCTCGATGGACTTGCCGTCCATGGCCATCATGGCATCTTCCGCGTCGTCCGGGTTCTCGAAGGTGACGAAGCCGAAGCCCCGGGAGCGGTGCGTTTCCCGGTTCTTGATCACTCGCACCTCGGTGATCTGCCCGTATTTATTGAACGCTTCCTCCAGCCTCTGCTCGTCCGTGTTGAAGTTGAGGCCTCCGACAAAGAGCTTTCCGTCCTCACACATTTTGGCGTCTTTTTTTTTAAAAAAAACTAAGAGCGAGCGTGTCTGTCTGTGTGTGTCTCTCTCCACATACACACACACACACACACACAGAGCAAAGGCGGAGGTAAAATGGCCGCCCCGCCTTTAGCTCCGCCGATTAGACAGAGGAGGAATTAAAGGAGCGTCGTTTAAACCTATCTGTGGAAAGGCGGCATTGCGCCTCCTTAAGGAGGGCCGGGCTGAGTGCTCGCTGCTGAGCTCCGAAACACTCCCACCAACGTCTGAAAGAATTCACATTCATCTAAATACAGGTTCGTTGTAAAATTAATGAGGTCCACGAACACGAGAATGCACACAAATTCTAGTTTGAAGCGAACGCCAAGAATGTGTCAAAACGTACCTGGTGCGATCTAAGAGTTATACTTACCCAAGAGTTATCCAAGAAAATATTTTTGGTGGTTTGTGAGGGGGGGAGGAGAACTCATAAAACTTTTTTTTTAATCTTTCCACTGTCGGGTGACATCTGTTCATAGGTGCAAAGTGCAAATAAATAAAATTGCAACAAGGCTTAGAATGACAGAGGGAGAGAGAGGTGCTCGGCAGTCTGACATTTGGAAGCCCAACACAGCAGTGAGGAGCAAGGTTCATAATAACCTTTGCACCTCATACCATGAATTACCAGGTTGTCGAGACACCTCAAAGGACTTTGCATGATATACTGTAAAGCGAAGTGACTAAAATGGAGTGGACGTGTCAAAGACAGAGGCTCTCCTGCTTGGCTCTGGTCAGCACTTTCTCACCTCAGGTGCTGATGGCATCAATCTAAACGGATGCACACTCCACCTTGCACAAACAGTGCAGAACTTCAGTGCCTTGTTGGGACTCTCAACTATGCTTTAAACCCCACATCCGTGTCTTGATCCACTCACTTTTCTCCATCGCCGCAACATTGCCTGACTGCCAGTTCTGCGCCTCAGACCGCCGAGATCCTCATTCATGCTTTCATCACATTCAGGCTTGACTGCACCAACTCTCTGCTCACCAGACTTCCCAATTCTTCCCTCCACAAGGTACAGATCATTAAGAATTCTGCAGCTCATGTCCTCTTCTGCTTCAGGCTCCACAAGCTTATAACCCCCCCCCCCCGAAATCAAGAAGTGAGAGAGCCAGAGAAAACTGAGCCAGGCTGACATCTGGTGTTCCCTGCTTGTCAGCCTTCCCAGCTCTTCCCTTCACGAGCTGCAGATCATCCAGAACTCTGCAGCTTGTGTCCTCTTCCGCACTGGGCACCGCAACCCTATTACCCCCACCCTTGCCTGGCTCCCCATTGCCTAGAGGATAGAGATCAAAATCCTCGCCTCCAAGGCCCTCCAAGGCCTTGCTCCTTCCTACATCTGTGACCTACTAACCCCATGTCAACCTATCAGCTCCCTGCCTGCTCCATGTCCCCCAGCCGGCCCGCCCAGCCATCGGCGGTCGGGCCTTCAGCCTCTCTGCCCCAACCCTTTGGAATTCCATCCCACATTCCCTTTGCCTTGCTCCCTGCCTTGCCTCATTCAAGGCATGTCTCAAGACCCCCCTCTTCCACCGGGCCTTCGGCTACCCTCCACCCTCCCTGATCCCAAACCCCCTCGCTTGGGACCAAATCCCTGACTGTCCAGCGCCTTGGGACAACCTCTTGACGTGAAAGATGCTATACAAATGTAATTTTTGCATCTATAATTGAGTAAATTAAACTTTAGACTCGTAACCATGGAAAGAATGGATGCCCTTGTGAAGACTGCTGTCGACCCAATGGAAGCTAGTAAAAATGTAATCAAACCTCAGTGAAAAATTGAAGATGGATAAAAAAATGGCTGCAACATTTGCTTCGGAAATACACTGCCACTATATAAAGTAAATCCTGAAAAACTGTTTGAGACATCCTCCCAGGGTGAAGTCCGCTGTATCAAATGGAAGGATTATTATCATTTAAAGGCAAAGTACTGCAGATGCTGGAAATCTGGTATAAACACAGAAGTCCTGGGAACATGTAGCAGGTCAGGTAGCATAATAATAATAATAAATCTTGCATTTGATATAGCGCTTTTCATGTCAAGAGGACGTCCCAAAGCGCTTCACAGAACATACTGTAAAGTGAATTGACTGTATATTTGTGGGCGAACGCGGCAGCCATCTATGGAGAGAGGAAAATGAGTTAATGTTTCAGGTCAATGAGCTTCCGTCTGAACTGTTCTGATGAAAGGTCATTGACCCGAAAAGTTAACTCATTTTCCTCTCTCCATAGATGCTGCCTGACATGCTGCGTGTTCCCAGCGATTATTATTATATTATTATACATGATATAGCATCCCCTCGCTTGACACCCATGTACAAAAAAAGCTTTCAATACTGTATTCAGTTTGGAAGGTAAATATTGTGAGCAGGAACCAAGTGAGAAGTAAATGCAACCTTGTGGGTCCTTTAATTGGGAGGGAAAAGTGAGCAGGGTTCCTCATGGTCTGCTTTGGGATTGAAAACTTTAGAGTGGCTCTGGTGTTCTACTTTGTAAATCATTAATTCGCCTCATTAAATTTGAGGGTTCCCCATTTCCAATTGCTCTGGCATGTTTCTGCTGTGGCATCGCCTCGCCCCCTTTAACACAAAGGGTCTCCAGAGTTCAGCCTCTTTCTCCTGCTGCCACAACCGCCATTTTGTACCGGTCCCAAAGAGGATGATGTCTCCCACCGCCATTTTACACCGAGGCGGGATTTCGCGAACGCACGGATATCGGCGGTTAAACTAACATTTCGGCACCACCATCGGTTTCAATCCCACACTTTGCTTTGAGATCAGTGAGTGCAACGGCGCCTTTTCCCCCAGATTTTTTTATTATCCCTAAAAGAAAGACGGATGCATCGGGCGCATCGTTATCTTAGCCAGCAGAAAGAAAAAAAGGGTCACCTTTGGTTTAAGGGAAGAGGTGGGCAACTACAATCGACGCTTTAGCGCCATTTTGAAATGAGGCATTTGAAATCGCGCGCCACCAACCGCCACATTAGGGCCGCCGCGCGCCACCAACCGCCACATTAGGGCCGCCGCGCGCCACCAACCGCCACATTAGGGCCGCCGCGCGCCACCAACCGCCACATTGCGCTGCAAGTTGGCGCTCAAACGCTACGCGCAAATGGTTTTGAACTGGTTCACGTTTCGGGTAGACCTGAAACCCAATATATGATACTATCCAGACTTAAATGTCGACTTTCACGTCAGGAAGACGTCTTATGGTAAATTCTCAAGTACTGACTGGATGTTTTAATGAGCGACTGTTAAACAAGCAGTATACATGATCCCTGCTTATACTGCACATTATGGAGGTTTACTGTATACCATTCTAAATGGGATCGAGAAAGCAAATTTAGGACAATAGGGAGGGTTACTGGTTCAGACCCATTCATTCTACAGGAAAATAAAAAAAAGGACATTGCAAACATTGAAGGAGAAAATGATGGGTGGAAATATGAATGAAGATATGGAAGGCAGAGAATAGTCTTGGCCAACAATTCCCCAAATAAACTAGGTTTTTTACATGATTGTTTGTGGGACATTACTCTATGCAAATTGGCTGGTCAGCTCCGGTCCTGATCGCTGACTGTTCTGCGCCTTGGGACGTCCTCCCGATGTGAAAGACTCTTTACAAATGTAATTTTCTTATTGTTGTTTTACTGATGCTAAGCACTGGGTTGACATTATCAACAATTTATCCACAATCTTAAATACAACTCCATTAAGCATTTTGTTCCCTTGCACCAAAGCAAGTTATTTTACACTTTCCAGATCTGTCATCCATCGGGCCTTACCGTGCAAAATATCCCAAATCCTTTTGGATCTAATCTCATTCTTCCTCATTATTGTTTCCTATTTTAATATCTGCAATTTGGAAATTTTGCTTAGGACACCTTCATTCCATGTCATTGTAAGGTTTGTATTAAATTACAAATTATACACTTTACACTTTGAATAATTTTCAATTAAAGGTGTCCATTATATCCTTTTGTAAGTAAACTTTATCTCCTGTTTTGTAACTCCTATCTTAACTATTAAATGCCTAAATGGAAACTTGTCAAAGGCTTTGACTTACCACATATTTTTTAAACCAAAGATATTTCATTGTTATTAATAGTGTCAGGTATTGGAAAAAGTGAAGTTGCAATGTGACATGGCTTGGATGTGGGGAAGAAAAGACAGTTGAGGGTCGAACAAGACACCACCGGGGTTCCTGACTGGCTTGGTGAGTTGAAGTGTGCAACCATGGAGATTGATGTTGCCAGAGCCTGAGGTGCTGAGGCGCTGCACCTCAAGCTTTTATTCTACAAAACGGAAAGATTAGAATATATTGAGTATTATTTGGTTGTATATTTTTCAACTTCATTTTAACAAAACCCATGCGTGAATATTTTCTACATACATTTCCTTAGTAAGATCAATTCTATACCGACCATCATGTAACTTAAAAACTAAAAGCTTCACATTCACTGTTTGTGATGAAATGTAAATTAAATTATGGACTTTCATCTTTAGGGACTGAATACTTGGGGTACAATTTTCACGAAAAGGTTAAAGCTTGAGTCCGATGCATGCACTGTAAATTCACTTTACAGTGTGTTCTGTGAAGCGCTTTGGGATGTCCTCCCGACGTGAAAAGCGCTATATCAAATGCAAGGATTATTATTATTATTATTATGCCATCCAGGAAGATTAACGCTTGGGTTGGGTTATTCACCATAAGATTAATAATACCTTTAATAATAATAATAATATGATCCGTAAAATGGTTAACTCTTTGTGGTTATGACTTTATTCGCAGTCTTACACTCTCATAGCGGGTTAATGCTTGGGTTATGATCCTTCATCACACAGGATGCACGATCCTTAAAGCTGGTGCCTTCTCTGTCATGTCACCCTCTGCAGAGCCACTTGACAGCGTCGTGGCGTCTGTGCGTAAAGCCGAGGCTGCTCCGCGCGAGTTAAAACCCGACAACACGAGCCGTCATTTTCAGCGGATATTTGAAGCTCGTGAGGGTTCAGCCGCTCCGTCTACGGAAAGAGCGTCATTTCGTGTCGTGTGCGCTGCCGAAAGCTCTCCGGGGGGAGAGCGCCTTCCCGGGGAGCGCCTGGTCGCGGTGTGACGGTTGGGAGGGACATGGCGGCCGCGGCACTGATTTCCAGGTAAACAGGAGGGAGAGACCCGGTAAATTTGCGGCCTGGGAGTGCGGTGTCGGGGTGCGGGTACTGACACCTGGTAATGGAGTGACACCGGGGGAGCAACACAAGCTGCCCTTGTAGAAACACATTCATATTTATCATCATCATCATCATAATAATAATAATAATCCTTGCATTTGTTATTGCGCTTCAAGGGGATATGCAACAACAATCCTGTGTCAGCAACTCCTGCATCCCCGAAATGGGTGTGAAAAAAGAGCTGTTAAACTGAGGTCTCACCTGCCTATTCAAGTGTTTTTTTAAGACAACTATATAAAGAGAGAAGTTTTTCCAATTCCAAATCCTCCAGACTCATCGGTCGTTCACTTCATGGCTGTTTGTAGAACTTAATAATAACCGTCCTTGCATTTGACGTCGCGTCTTGTCACGGAGTTGATACGTCTCAAAGTGCTTCAGAGAATAGCTACCCGTAAAATCAGTAATTTGTGGAGATGTTTGTACTCTGAAAATGTAAGACTGTAATGAGTTTAGTAACCAATACATCAGTATAGGTTTGCTTTTGCCTGGGAGAGTCTGCCTTTTGGCTCTAACGTGCTGCGTTATTCCAATTCATTTCCTACTCCCAATAACTGAATCTGCACTGGTATATTGAAATAACCTGTACATGATTCTGATTGTATGGCATGGCTTCAAGCCATTAAACCAAGTTTCACCATTTTAAATGCTTTGATAATTGATCCCAGCCTCCTAAGGTCCAGACAATACATTCCCATACAACCAGTCTTTCACACAAATAATTCAATTAGGATTGTCAAACCTAGGCTCTGATCAGCTCGTGTCTAATCATAATACTTGTAATCTATCTATCCAGTTACATTCAGCTACAAATTCTACAGTCACTGCACTTTACAGTAAATCACATGAAGCACTTTGAGAGGGCCTCTCCAAACTCTCTCTTGTCAATAATTGTTTTAAAGATGTTTTTGTGATGTTTTAATATGAAGAGATTATATCAATGAGGAATTCGGTGGAGTATAAACACCTCATGAACTAGTTGGACCAAAAGACACGTTTTGTAGCACATTACTTTATGTAGGTTCATCCAATCATAATGGGCTGGATTCAATATAATGAAAATATGGCAAATGTGCCACCTCTGTGCCACCCAGTTTCTTCCATATCAATGAGCATAGTATTTAAAGATTCTATTTTTGTTTGTATTTGCAGCTTCAAAAGGTAACTTTAAACCTGGGAGGGGTGACAGAAAGTTAGAGACTAAATTCTGTGCTAATAGGGACTTCCACTAACATTGACCTGATTGTGTGCCACTCTCCGGGAGAAGGGAATGGCTCTCATTACACTGGAGGATCTAGCAGAGTTGGAGGAAGAGGATGCTGTCAGTGCCGCTCCTAGCAACCCCGAACCAATGGATGAAGATGAAGAGCAACATAACCAGCTCTTTGCTCATTGGCAAAGTGTTGCCAACACACATCAAGTGGACCTTCCTCGAGGTGAGTGATATCAATCAGAAAGGTAGAGGCATAATAACAACAACTTGCATAGGGTAGCGTCTCAGATGATTGACAGTGGCGGAGGCTGATGCTGAGTTAGGGAGAGAGGGGAGGTGACCGTAAGCATGGTCAAAGAAGAAGGTCTTCCGGCACAACCTTAAGATGGGGAAGGCGCAAGGTGGAGGGATTGAGAGAGAGTTTTCTAGAGTTTCGGGGTATAGTGGCTGAAAGTGCAGCTGCCGATGGTGGAATGGAAGGCACAAGGGACAAGCAGGAGGCCGGAGTCAGTCGAGTGGATTGGGGAATAAGCACGACGTTCATAATGTGTGATTATCAGAAGCAAGAAGTATTTTGAATTCTGCATTGTTTGAGGTTCATTGGATCATTACAGTATAGAAGGAATGAATTTGGTCTATCAAAATAATGCTAGTGCAAGTTCCTCCACTGTAGGTATCTACAACAACAACAACAACAAGACTTCATTTATAGAGGGCCTTTCAAGTTGGGAGGACGTCTCAAGGCGCTGGACAGTTGGGTCGGGACCCGAGCAGGGGGGAAATGGTCAGGGTGAGGGGAGAGAAGGGAGGGAGCGAGGAGGGGGGGGGGGTAGAGAGTCGAGAGAGGAGCTGAAGGCACAGTCGAAGAGAAAGGTCTTGAGACTGGCCTTGAAGGAGGAAAGGGAGGAAGCAAGGCGAAGGCACTGGGGAATCTACTCTAACCTTAGTTCTCTGCTCTTGCTCCTTACTTTCTTTCAGCTATCCCATTGGAACTGTCCACTCTTAATTCCAATTTGCTGCTCTTCCCCCCATCTTTTATATTATTCCCACTTCAAGTGCTTCTTTAATTATATTCTAAATGTTATTCTAGTCTTTTCATCAGTAACAACTTGTCATAAAACAATCTAGGTTCTTATAACCCTCTGCGTCCAAAAATATCAATGTGATTCATTTAGCATTTCACTTAGTATTCATATGAGTCAAGCTGATGGATGTTAATGTTGTGAATCAATGGTGAGTGTCACATTCTTTCTCTGTGGCTATAATTGTTACAGAAATGATGGGACCAATTCAGCAGTTAATAAGACACAACCAAGTGCAGGAGCACGTGCCCTACCTCCCTGGCACTCGCTTTGAGAAGGTAAGTCACTTATTCGGACGGAATGGTCTCATTGTTTTGCACTGAAATGTATATTTCCAAAGATTTGGTTTTGTAGGCGAACACACAGTTAATTTGTGCACAGCAGTTCCCACAAACAGCCAGGAGATGAATGACCAATTTATTCCGAAGAATTGTTGGCACATAGACTGGAAGAAACTCGCTTTTTTTACTGAATCTCCAGTTAAGGTCTCATCAAAACGATGGCATCGGCGAGCATGCAACACTTCCTCAAAACTGCACTGGAGTGTCAATCTACACCATGAACTCGAAGTCCCCGATGAGGGGTATTAACCCTCAATCTTCTGATTTAGAGGGAAGAGTATGACCGATTAAGCATTATTAAGTACAATATCAAATTGCATTAATATAATGCCTTTCATGTTGGGAGGATGTCCCAAGTAGCAAAAATGGGGGAAAAGCTCACTATGTTGTAGAACCTGTCTTATCTGAAGCTATACAATTGAAAAAAATTGTTTAGGATAGCTGCTTGTGTGTATCCAGGCAAAAAAAACCTTAACATTGAAACTATATTTTAAATTGAGAATAGGTATGTGAAGGGCCGAAGCCAGAGTGCAAGAGATTCAGTGAGATAAATTCCAGTAGTGGTTAATGCCAGAGATTAAAACACAGGAGGCCATTTGGCCCATTGAGTCTATATTTTTTGGGTGAGCGAGGTGTCTGATACGTGCTGAAACCCATCATTGTGCTTAAGGTTCGATTCCCGGGAAGCAAAACGTTAGGCAAGTTTCCTTGTTCTACATGCCTGTTTACCTAGCAGTAATTAAGAACCCGGTTATTAATCGACTGGCGGATGGCTTTTCCGGGAGTTGTAATTCTTTCAAAATAAATAAATAAAAATAATTTGGTCACTCAACCCATGAATGTTTGTGGGATGCTGCTGTGTGCAATTGGCTGCCGAGTCTCACCCACAAAATATACAGTCAAATCACTTTACAGTATATTCTGTGAAGCGCTTTGAGACGTCTAGAACAACACAATAACAAGATTACATTTGCATAGCAATGTAATATGTAATATATAAGGCAATATATCAAATGCAAGGATCATTATTATTAAGAGTATCCAAACCAAAATGAGAATCCTATGCTTATCACCTACACATGGAAATCCCAGAGATAAATTGTTGGAATGGAATGCGCACTCTCTGTCTGGAGGGACACATCCTGTTTACCTAATTCCGGAGAGTAATAGGTGCAGGTTGGCAAGAGCCAAGGTTTGGGGACCCCAGAGAGTGTGTTGGGGGTTACTGCTGGAGTCTAACCAGCTAGAACCGAATAGCTTGCCATTGATAGCACTATCTGCCAAAGTTTCCCGCTACTTGTCCAGCTGGGACCACACATTATTAGGGCTTTGGTTTGCAGGGGTAATGGGAGCTGAGTGGGAGGAGTCCCTGCCCTCAGTATGGTGAGCCTGTATGGTGTTAGCTTTACTTTGTTGCCCTAATCACAACTCCCTGTTCTTTCCCTGTACTCAGAACAAGGGAACATGGTCTTAAAATTAGAACTAAACCAACTAGAAGCAAAATCAGAAGACAATTTTTCACACAAAAGGTTTGTTCTTTGAAGGAACAAATTGATTCTTTCGTGATAGAGTTATTATTTTCCAAAATAGTCAAATCAAGAGGCCTCCATGAGAACCCGGTGTGGTTGTGGATGCAGCATTGCTGCCATCTAGTGGCTACCGTAAATGCTGTACTTTAATGAAAGGTTTCAGGAGGGATGGCAAGACCATCAAATAGTACAATAGCGAGGATGTCGTTCTATAATTTGACACTTACTGCAGTGCAGGGTGGGCACTGCATTGTCAGAGGTGTCACCTTTCATCCTTAAACTGAGCTCCCAATTGCGCACAGCAGTGTCCCACAAACAGTCATGGATTGAGTGACCAAATTATTATTATTGTTGTATTTTTTTCTTGAGGGATTATTATCAGGCATGTAGAGTAAGGGAACTTGCCCAAGGTTTCGCCCTGCCAGGAATCAAACCCAGGTCTCTCGCTTGCAAGGCGAGTGCTCTAACTACTGAGCTACAGAACTCCACAAGCAAAAGACCCATATTACAGATACTGAATAATAATAATTCTTGCATCAGGCATTATTGATCTTGCAAGTGTTTCTAGAGCTGGAAACACTGTTGAGACTGGTCGTGATCATATAAAGGGAGCCAGCCAGCCAGTTTATACTGAATCAGAAGTGGCATTAACAGCGACCAAAAGACTCAAAGCACAACTGGTAGCCATTTTATTCCTCCCTGGACCTATTGTAATGCAGTGTTTGATTCCATAAAATTAGACGCAAGCGTTTTGACAAAACACTGTGTTATAGTGGGGACACACTGTGCTTGATTGTTCAGTGTTGTATTTCCTGCAAGTTTGGAGAATGCAAACAGCAAGACCAAAGACCAGGAAATAATGTATTTTAAAAAAGATGAAAGAAAACCTTTCATTTAAATTGGGCTTTCGAGGTACAATTATAACAGGAGGCTACAATGCAATTATAGTGTATAGTTTAATTATATTAATAGAAATCAGATACAACAGCATTAGTAAAAGAATAACCTGCTAGTTTTGGTATCTGTTGTGTTATAATAATAATAATCCTTGCATTTGATATAGCGCTTTTCATGTCTTCTAGACGTCTCAAAGCACTTCACAGAATATACTATAAAGTGAATTGATTGCATATTTGTGGGTGAAATGCGGTAGCCAATTGTGCACAGCAGTGTCCCACAAACAGTCGTGGATTGAAGTGACCAATTGTATTATTTTTTTTCTTCTTGGACGGATTATTATCTGGTGTGTGGAGTAAGGAAACTTGCCCAAGGTTTCACCCTGCCGGTAATTGGACCCAAGTCTCTCGCTTGCGAGGCGAGTGCTCTAACCACTGACCTGCATGATCCTATGCACCAACATCTAAAAGTTCCATTCAGTGTAATGCACAGCTCCATTGGCACAACTGTAATGGGAAACCCTATCAGTGGCCAACATCACTAAAACATTGTGATATAACCCTGAATAGATTGTCTTACACGCGATGTGTAAACTATTTGCAAAGAAGCAATCACAGATGCTGTTAATTATGTAATTAACAACCAATAAAGATGATTTATGAAATTAGTATAATTGTTTAAGGCCCATGTACATGGTTTAAACATGGTATGTAGATGCAACAACAACATGTAATAGTCACTGTTTCAGAAAACAAATGTTCTACAGTCAGAACATCACAGAAGAGGGAGAGAAAACAAAGCTGATGTGTTAGAACATGTCATTTATAATTTGTGTTGCAGTGTAATGAGACTGCCTATGAAGAAAGGTTATACCCAGCTGGAAAATGGGCATACATCAGTAGAAGTGAAAAGCTGTATGAACAGAGCATCTCCATGGGGTTCATGAAACTCATGCGTTATATCTGCAGTGAAAATTCAGCAGGTAATAACTTACATTTATACAATACTGTGAAAGAAACATTGTGAAGCGCTTCACAGAATATTGAAATTAAAGTGAAGGTTGTTATGGAAGCAAATGCAGAAGCTACTTTACATCAGCAATAAACATTCCACGTACAACTGATGTATGAGCAGCCAATTAATAAGGTGTTTGAGGTAGATTTAGATGAGTGAATATAAACCAGAAGAACTGGGAAAAGCAAGTTTACAATGGGAGGAGGACAATCTGTGTCTGTCTGTGGAAGAGTTGTTAAAAAAGTTGGGTATTTTGGTATATTGGAAGGCTCAGCCATTGTTTTGCTTTGGTGCTGAAAATCCATTACGTTGACCTGGAGAACAGCACTATAAATGAGTATTTGACTCTCGTTAATGGATATTGCGTTGTTTTGTGAGTACTAAACAAAGCAGAGAGAATGATCACTGTAACACTGTCAACATTAAGAGGTTACATACACCTCTCACTAATATAAGATCAAAATAGTGCCTACAAGTATTAATCTAGAACACAAAGTTCACTGTAAACACTTTATTGCCACTTCTTACAATGCTTAGATAATGTTTATCTCTGCTTCACCGACACAGGGAGCCACAAAATAGCCTCTTTATCACAACCTCTGATATCTATAGTTTATGGTTCTCATTGTCAGATAACTACAGTACACTTGTATCAATTTAAAATTGTATCACTATAGTGATGGTCCAACTTTTGCTTAGATGTAATCCTTTCTACAATTTATATTTATATAGCACCTTCCATATTGAAAGGATAACTTGAAGCGCTTCACACAACTGATTGGGAGCCTGAGCTGGGGAGGGGGAAAGCTGAGCTGACCTGTGCTAATCGCAGCTGTGGAGGGGAAGATAGTCGAGTAAGTTCCAGAAATAGGATGGGATGAAGCCATTGGACACATTTGAAAGTAGGATGAGGATCTTGAATTTGATTCGCAAGGGGAGTTGAGTGAGGATGGGGCTGATGGACTTGTGGAACCTGATGCAGGGGAGATGTGGGCTACAGAGTTGTGATTGTGCACTACACATTGCATAGGGAGGAGCTCGGAGGCTGGTGAGCAGAGCATTGGAATAATCAAGCCTGGACGTGATGAATTATAATAATATTTGCATTTGATATAGCGCCTTATCATGTCTTCGAAACATGAAAGTGCTTCTCAGAATATACTGCAAAGTGAAAAATTGACTGTGTATTTTGTGGGCGTAGATGAGAGTCTTGGCAGCTGAGTGGAGTGTGATTGGCGGAAGTGGGGGGATGGGGATGGGGGATACAAAGATGAGGGAAAGCCGTGCAAGTGAGAGCCCATTGAATGGATGTTTGGGGGTCGGTGGGGCATGGATTATCCTGGTAAGTGCAAGCTGCAGCACTATTAGGTAGGGTGGCCCTAGCTGGACAAACGGTGAGAATCTTGCCAGACTGTGCTTACACTGGTAACTACATGGTTTTAGCTGGTTAAAATCCACCAATAAAGTCCTGGTCTTGGTTCTTGCCAACCTGTGCTTAATACTTTCTGAAATTAGGTAAAAAGGGCTTGTCCCTCTGGGGAGAGAGTTCAAGCCACTGCAGGCACAGGGAACTTTCCTTGCATTGGTAGAAGTCATAATAATTAATAATAATCCTTGCATTTGAATAGAGCATCTTGTCAGGTAGTCGAGATGTCTCAAGGAGCTTCACAGATATTCACTGCCATTGATCTGTTTTCACAGGCATTGCTTTTGGGGTTGGTTGGGGAGGGTTCCACCTCTGGCAGATCCAAGGAACATTTGATGTAATAAATATCAAATTTAAGTAAGAACATTCTTAAAACTGCTCAGTTGATCCCAGAGTAATAGTTCTCTCAGGAATAAATACCAAATAAAAACATTTTAATGTAGTCTATGTAGTCAAACATTCTTTAGCCCCTATTTGTTCTATCATCTTACCTTCTGGTTTTCTCCCCTTTCCTCCTCTCCTGCTGCTCCCTGTCTAGGTCATCACCTTGGTATGACCATTCCCATCATCAATGAGATAAGGATAGTCACAGAAGGGAATTGCTTGACCCCAGAGGTGGTCACTGCCTACTATCTACCAGCAGTGTTTCAAGACCAGCCACCACAGCCCATGGATCCAGACATTGAAATTGTGGAACGTCAACCCATGAGTGTTGTCACCAGGTGAGTGAACTGGTTACTTCACCTTGGCACCACATCTCAGGCACTAACAGCATCAATCTACATGGATGCACACTCCACGTCATATAGCCAGTGCAGACGCTTGTTTAATTCTCAACTGACACTCAATCACCCTTGTCGCCTACTAAACCCCCCCACCATGCCTCCTTCATCACCCTCTCCTCCTACCACAGCCCCACCCCCAACTGCGTTGCCCCCATCTCTCCCTCCTTCCTTCCCCCACCAGCACCCGGATGAAGCCCCACCATCTGCTGCCTCGAACCGCTCCCCACCCAGTTTCTGGTCACTCAACTCCCCCTTTGCCCCCTGCTGGCTGATACAATCAACCATTCCCTCTCCTTAGGCTCTGTCCCACTCCCCCTCAAAACCGCTGTCATCATTCTTCTTCTTAAAAAATCCACCATCGATTCCTTCAACCTCACAAAGTTCAGACCCATCTCAAACCTGCTCTTCCTGGCCAAACTTTTGGAACGTGTCATTGCAAACCAACTTCGCTCACACCTTTCCCTACACTCCCTACTCAAACCGCTCCAGTCTGGTTTTCGCTCTGCCCATAGCACAGAGACAGCGTTTGTCAAAGTAACAAATGACGTCCTCAGTCTCTGACCAGGGCTCCCTCTGCCTCCTCGATCGCCTGGTCCTCTCTGCTGCGTTCGATACAGTCAATCATGCCATCCTCCTCGACTGCCTCTCCTACCTCATCCACCTTAGTGGGACAGCACACGCATGGTTCGAGTCCTACTTAACAAACCGCCAAGAATACATCTCAGCAAATGGTTTTCCCTCCTGCCCACGCCTGGTCACCTGCGGGGTACCCCAAGGCTCCATTTGTGGCCCCCTCCTTTTTCTTATCTACACGCTCCCTCTCGGCGATGTCATTCGCAGACACGTGGTCAACTTCCACATGTATAAGGATGACTCCCAAATCTGCTTCTGTTTGATGGACATCAAGGCCTGGATGAGTGCAAATTTCTGCAGCTGAATATCGGCAATATGGAAGCTATGCTATTTGGCTCCCATCAATTTATTTTCTCCTGCAGGTCTGAACTTTTCAACCTCCCTGGGCCCTCCTTCAGACTCATCAAATCCGTTAAGCGTTCTGTTCGATCCCCAACTTTCCTTTCTATCCGTTCCTTACAAAAACAATAATAAATTGGTCATTTTCAATCCACGACTGTTTGTGGGACATTGCTGTGCGCAATTGGCTGCCACGTTCGCCCACAAATATACAATCAATTCACTTTACAGTGTGTTCTGTGAAGCGCTTTGGGACGTCCTCCCGACGTGAAAAGCGCTATATCAAATGCAAGGATTATTATTATTATTCTGTGAAGCACTTTGGGACGTCTAGAAGACGTGAAAAGCGCTATATCAAATGCAAGGATTATTATTATCAGGACTGCTTTTTTCCACCTCGCCACATTGCCCTCCTCCATCTGTACCTCACATCCGACGAAACCGAAATCCTTGTCGACACCTTCGTCACTTCCCACCTGGACTATTCCAATGCCCACCTAGCTGGTCTCCCCAGCTTCACCATACACAAAATTCAATTAATTCAAAACTCTGCCGCCCAGATACTCACCCGCACAAAACTCTGTATTGCCCGTCACACCAGTCCTTGCCAAGCTCCACTTGCTTCCGATTACCGAATGGATCGATTTCAAGTTGTTAGTTGATTGGTAGATCGCTTTTCCGGGGGTAATAATTCCTTTTTAAAAAAAATTGGTCACTTCAATCCACGACTGTTTGTGGGACACTGCTGTGGGCAATTGGCTGCCACGTTTCACCCACAAAATATACAGTCAATTCACTTTACAGTACATTACCTGAAGTGCTTTGAGATGTGATAAGGCGCAAATGCAAGATTATTACAACAACAACAACTTGCACTTATATAGCGCCCTCCACCCAGGGTTACGTCTCAGAGTGCTTAACAGTGGCAGAGCCTGACTCTGGGTCAGGGGGTGGGGGGAGGTGTCCGTAGGTACAGTTGAAGAGGAAGATCTTCAGGCGAGACTTGAAAAAGGGTGAGAGGGGGCAAGGGGGAGGGATTGAGGGAGAGTGTACCAGAGTCGAGGAGTAGTGGCTGAAAGCGCGATCTCTGATGGTGGGACGGAGGGTGCGAGGGATGAACAAGAGGCCAGTGCCAGTCAAGTGGAGTCGCCGGGTGGTGGATTGGGGAGTGAGGAGGTGCCAGAGTGTGAAAGGATTTGAACACGAGAGTGAGGATCTTGAAGTCGATCTGTTCGGTGTTGGGGAGCCAGTGGAGCATGGCCAGAACTGGTGAGATGTGGGTATGGAGTTTGGTCCAGGTAAGTATGTGGGCATCAGAGTTCTGGATGAGTTGGTTCTTTTGAATAGTGTAGCTGGGGAGACCGGCGAGGAGTGCGTTTGAGTAATCCAATACTTCACAGTAATTGCTATGAAACGCTTTACAGACAGTTTGACATGAAAGATGCTATAAAAATTAAATGTTTTTCTTCCATAGAGTTTTTTTTGGAACAGTCAATGAGGAGATCATACTGCAGGAGATTCAGGCTTTGACTGATTTGCTGGGCACCACAGATGCCTACTCGAGGGATACCTATATTATCGCTACATACGAAAATCCTTCTGTCACGCAACGAAGAAATGAAATTTGGTTTATTCACACATCCCAGTAACAGCGACAAGGCCTCACGACAATGATTGACAGGTTATTTGATGATCTAGAGAATTAAATGGAATTTCAGCAGCAATCTAAACATACCCAGGCTTCCTTTGGGGCTGCATATATGCACCTTTATATATCGCCTTTCACGCAGGGTATTATGGCGATGTACAAGGACTACACTATCTCTGGGTGCCATTCACTCCTGTACCTTAAGGGAATGCTCTTGCTTTTCTTGCAATTTAGGATTTTCTTCCTATTCACCATTTGCTTTGTCAGATCCAGTTTATCTTTATCATCAGTTTATCATCCAGGACTTGATGTCCGCCTCGCTCCCTCCTTAGTCTCCTTCAAGTCCCGCCTCAAGACCCTCCTCTTTGACCATGCCATCAGCCATCCCCCCCCTCCCCCCCCACTCCGACCCCAGCTCGGGTCTGAAATGCTGTACACTGTCCAGGGCCTTGGGATATCCTCCCGACGTGAAAGGCGTTATACAAATGTAATCTTGTTGTTGCTTAGTTGCAACTATGTGGAATTATTTTTTTCTATCCAATACTTTTCTCTTGTTGTCCAACAGTTTGGACGTCCTCCTGACGTGAAAGGCGCTGTACAAGTGTAATTTATGGTTGCTTTTCTTGTAGAATCGACAGTGCAGCTGGGTTTGTGGATTAGATCTTAATTCAATAATATTAGTAGGTATTGAAGCTGGATCAATGGAATAATTTGAAAGGGATAGAGATAATCTCCAAAACAATAAAAATATTAAAGGATATGGGGAAAGAGATGGAAATTGGGCATTTTTCTTTTAAAAAAGAGGGGTATAAATAATAAGCAATAATCCTTACATTTGGTACAGCACCTTCAGGAGGATGTCCCAAAGCGCCTCACAGGATATCCTATTAAGTGGAGTGACTGCATATTTTTTGTGGACGAATGTGCAGCAACTGGTGCACAGCAATGTCCCACAAGCAGCCATGAAGTGAATGACTATTTTCTGTGGGGACTGTTGGCCGGGACATCAGGATAAAACTCCCTTCTTTTTCTAATAGTGTCATGGGATCTTGGTTTAATGTCCACCTGGAAAGACAAATGGGGTCTTGGTTTAACTACTTATGTGAAGGACGGGGCCTCTAACGATGCAGCACATCTCCACCACTACATTGGTGTGTGATTTTAGACTATATGAGTTCCAAGTTCCAATGTGTAAGAACGTTATGCAGACCTATGGGAACTGATGGGATCCACTGGAGTGAGTTCCTGGAGGATTAATTTGCGGTATTTCCTAACCACAATTTGGATTTACATTGCCATTCATGCACGGGGTAGTGTCTTGGATCGCTAACAGTTGTGGAGCTTGATGCTGAGCCAGGGAGGAGGGGGGAGGCTGGAGGGAGGAGGTGACTGTAGTCACAGTTGAAGAGGAAAGTCTTAAGGCGTCATCTGAAAAAGGGGAAGGAGGGGGCAAGGCGGAGGGATTGAGGGAGAGAGTTCCAAAGTTTTGCGGTGTGGTGACTGAAAGCACGGCTGCCAATGGTGGAGTGGAGGAGACGTAGCTTGGAGAGTCTGGAGGGATTTGTAGACGAGTGTGAGGATCTTGATGTTGATCCGTTCTGAGATAGGGAGACAGTGGAGCCTGCCGAAGACTGGTTTGATGGGGGTACAGAGTTTAGAACGGGTTAGTATACGGGCGGCAGACTTCTGAGTTATTTGAATTTTGTGGATATTGGAGCGATAGTGGACCAGAGAGGAGGGCAAAGGAATAATTCCTTATTAGGAAATTAGCAGGCTTAGTTGGTGTGTTTGCTTCTCATTAATGTTTGTAGCTCATGATCTAGGTTGACACTCCAAAGCAAAGTGACTGGAGGGGCTTTGTGCAGATGCTGTCCTTTGAATGAGTTTAACATTTCATTCTCAGTCTGTTAATCTGAGATTAATCAAGGAAAGGCTGATTTCAGATACAGAGCAAAATCTAGACATTTAGTTTCAATAAACAAACTGTGTGAATAGTTTGTACCTTGCTGAGTGCCTGTACCAGGAGCAGCACTAACTGTACTTAGTCAACGACAGAGTGAACCTTTTCATCTGACGCAGCAAGAGATTAGCACAAAGTACTGTACATGCTGTGAAGATAACACTAGTAGACTGAATGAATTAATGCTGAGCACAATATCATCAAAAATGCTAAAACCTCTCAATGTTACAGGGATCTTCAGTCAAATAAGAGCATGTAGCCACCACAGACCTGTGGTTAACTCTGATATCAATTCTTATTATGTGTATTTTATATTTGTAACTGAAGTGCCACATTATTTAAAGAAATCTCTGCGATGCGACAATCACTAATAATCTCTTCCTGTACTCAGTACACACTGAGGCACACACAATCAGGTACACACAGCTAGAACGGAAATTTTATGATATTGAGCTTCTGTCTCCATGTGCCATTCTCATATCTGAATTCTTTGCCAGAGCATCACTAGCAACACTGTAAGATAAGCATAGCGATGGCAGAAAGAGGGGTGCCTGAATATTGGCCCAACGTTGGCCCATGATGCTCCTGCCTGTGGATGCAGAAAATAAACATAGCTGTACACAACGTGTATGATCATAGACCACAATGCTGACCTTATTATGGGTTCCACACCACTCGCTCCAACCCTTGAGAGAAAATGTCTGCAGATAAACCAAAATGATGTAGAACATGAATTAAACCCCCTACCCCCCTTTCATGGACACCTAAGAAGACATTTAGGTAACCGGAAAATTATAAGTTGAATTAATTTTATTATAAATGTATGCACTTCGAAGTAGAAGCAGGCAGAATTGCTCATGAGTATTTCATTTATCCCACCAAGATTTTGATTTCTGTGAGGATATTTATGTTAGGCTCTCAAAAACTTTGTGTATACTTTGTGAAGTTGTGAACCTGTCTAATTTCAAACTTATTGAAACTACAATCTAGTACCAAATTTCATTGGTTAGGGCTAATAGTTACTGTATATTTAAAAAAATCTACATGGTCCTTTCGTTTGGCACACGACATGTTAATCGCCTGCCAGGATTGTGGAAGGCGAACTAGATGGACCTTGGTCTTCTTTCGCCTAGCAAGTTCTTATGTTCTTATGTGCTAAATTTATCCTATTAAAATTCTGATCAGGACACATTGGATAGATATGTAATTTGAGAGCCTTATTTTTGGCAAAGTTCCAAAGTGAGTGACTTTTCCTTTAAAATATCACCATTAGGCAGTTTGGACATGATGTGTGGTCTCATAGGCAATGCAAATACCTACCCAATATGGAACTCAAAAGTAGCATGTTTCAAACTGTGAATGCATAATCAGTTTACAGATTGAGATATTACAGGTTTTGGAATCAGTAGAGTGCACAGTGCATCTGGTTTCCATAATCTACTTTGACTTTTGGTGGGCTAAGTGGACACACACTTTGAATTCAGAAAGATGAAGCCAAAATTACTTAAATATGAATAATCTTCACAACCATACCGTAGATTACCTTTAAACCTTAAAAAGTCTTCCAAACGAATATTCTTTTCATGTTTCCAAATATCAAGTTCATCCCCCAAGCTGTCTGTGCATCTTGTGACTCAACTCATTCTGATATCTGGAGTATGTTTATTTCCATGATCAATGTAACTTGTCAGATTAATGCAGAATTTTGACTCTTTGGGTTACAAAAGTTTGGGGAGATGGTAAATAGATCTAGGACAACTCATCTCTGATGAGAAACTGGAATCGATGGAACCATAGTCAGACAGATTGAAGAAAATGTAATTAAAATGGATATGCTAAACTTATTCCCCACATCCTCCTCCAGTGTACGTTATATCCATATCAGATAATCTCTGTGTATCAGGCAATCTCTCAAGGGGGCTAAATATTTTGATGAAATAGCCAATATAAATTGAGTCATCCTTCTTTCAATTCCTATTGATCTCATATTCTGCCTGCTTGGTCTTCTGTGTGAAGATGCACCTAGCTCTGGAGTCAAATTATTTTTTATTTTGGGAATACAATATTAGTGACTGCAGGAAGGGCTACTTTCAATTGCTGTTATTATGTAAAAGTGAAGGATGTTAGCCATGGATCAAATTAACTGAGTAATTTAAGTACCATATAAATGCTTGCATGAAAACTGATGTAACTTGGTGTGAATCGTTGCTGAAATGGGACTGGAATCACTTTATTCTAATGGGGAGACCTGCAGGACAGTGGATCCTACACACATTGCTCACATGTGTGTCGTGTGTCCTCCAGTTGCCTCACTGTTGTACTTCTTTGCATCTTAAATCAGCTTAATACCACATCTGTGTAACTATGTTAGCCTTTCAAACTCATTCTAGCCATTCTCAAAGTGTACGGTGAGTTCACCTAGAAAAAATTAAATATGTGTTTGCTGAATGTCCTCTAAACATTATTATTGATGTAAAATGGGAAGTGCTTTGTGTGCTGAACACTAATCTCTGAAATCTTCCATTTTATTTGTTTGCTGGATGTGTCTGGTTTAACTTGTCACTGTGGTAGTAATGGAACCCGGAGCTGTTCAGGATGTTCCCATATCAAGTTTAAATGATACAGCGAGACTTTGTATGGCAGATTTAAACAACAATCTCCCCTGTGCTAAAATGCATGAGGTGGAGTGGGGTGGGATGCAATTCATTCCTATTGTATTTAGATTTATTTCTTCATGTATTTCTTATTAATATAACATCTTAAAGTGAAAGTAATAACATTATTCTAATATATGAATTGCATCAGACTATCTTGTGGATGAGTTGCTGAATGTTAGTGTGTGACAGTAGTCAATGGATATGCAGTAACTGATTGAACTAAGTATAATTGTGACAGGTGCATTATGTATACTGTATAATTGTGTAAATGAAATTTGGACACATACATGCCTAGCATTTTATGCAACATTGTATTCTTCATAGTATATTACTTTATAGCATTTTAATTTTATACTAGACAGATACAGCTGAAGCACTGCTTCTAGTTCAGGGTGCTCCATTATAGGAAGGATATTGGAACCATGGAGAGAGTACAAATTCACATGAATATTTGTTTATAGTTATGAGGATAGAGGCTGTTTTCACCAGAAGGGAAAGGTTAAGATCTTAGCAAGCTCTTGAAAATTCTTTTGACAGGATAAATAAAGATTATTTCTGTTAGTTGGTGAACAGGTAACGGGGAGAAGGTTAGCTTTTTTGACAACGATAGTTATTATTGAATAGAATGATTTACCACAATTGGCTGTAAAGCTAAAACTGTAAAACCATTTGAAGGGAATTAGTTCAGTTTTTGTAGCGAAA